AGGACATAGATTTGATATTCCAACCAATTTATATGCACCAGAGCATGTGCATGTAGCTTAATTTTGAATTGTGCACCTGAAATGGCTAGAAACCAATTTAATGTATAAAATGTCCAAACGAACCCTGAATAATTCCAATTCTATTACGACGCACATATAGTTGCATGTTCACTCCAGATAAAAAGTCTAGCAATTCAAACAACGTCCATTGCCGCTGTGATCCCATTTTGTAATTTAAATCAAGTAGACCCCGCATAGTTTATTATCACCAACCGTGTGAGATGTAGTACAAAAATATCTTGGAGCACCGTTGGTGTATAGTATGCCTATGGCTTACGCGAGAAGGTGCGTCAGCTACAGTCCACAGCCGGCGTGTCAAGCACACTAACTCACTGCCCAAAAACTCCCGCCTCTGCATCCCTCGCGGTCTCGAAAATATTATTGCCTTGTAATCTTGAAAATATCTACTGCCTGGAAGGTTTTAATGTCTGATAGCACACGATTAGTATGTGTGGACCGTGTGCGATGTCTGTTACTCCCTCTTTGCTTCAGTCCCTTGATTTAAATTTTCAGTAGCCCCCGCATTTTACTCCCGCCTCTGCATCCTCGCAATCTCAAAAATTTCTGCTCGCCCTTGATCCAAATTTTCAGTAGCGCCGCCTTGTTACTCCCTCCTAGTAAAGTTTTCGGTTGCCGCAGTATTTTCTCAAACACAACCTTGCCCCCCCTCCCCCCTCCACACACACACCCCAAAACCTCCGTTCATATAGACACACACAACCCTCGAAAACCATTGGTAGGTCGCCGCCATCGCCGGTGCCTCCATCCTCAACCTCTGCCTGTGTGCCAGGGAGCTCGAGTAGCCAATGGCCAAAAAGGGGTTTATCGCGGCCTTTTTGCCCGACGCTGGCGAGGTATCCGCCAAGGTGTCCCCATTGTCCTCCGCAGGCCCGATCCGCCGTCACCGGTCCCTCGATCCGCCCGCCGCCGCGCCCCTATGCTGGTTCGAGGACTTCCCCGTCCTCCCTCGGACCCAGCAGCCGATGAAGTCCTACCTCGGGGTCCAGCAGCGGCAGTGGGGGACGTGGGTCACCGAGATTGCAGATCGAGAGACCCTGGACAATATTAATGAAGTCACCGATAAACGTTTGGCTGCTTTGAAGGCCATAGAGAGAGATAAGTTGAGGGTGGCAAGAGCTTACAATAAGATGATCAAGTTGAAGAATTTCCATGTTGGCGATCTCGTGTGGAAGGTAATTCTACCAATTGGTTCAAAAGATAGAAAATTTGGGAAGTGGTCTCCTAGTTGGGAAGGTCCTTTTAAGATTGCAAGAGTAGTTCCCGGAAAGTTATATTTGGTGGAACCCATACAAGGCATATTGTTACCTCAAGCTCTCAATGACAAGTATTTAAAGAAGTATCACCCAAGTGTGTGGCATGAAGTCTAGATAGGCAACGGCCGATATATAACTATCACCCTAAGCAAAGACATGGCCGATATATGACTATCACCCTAAGAAAATACATGTCTGATATATAATTATCGCCCTAAGCACATGTAAATGGCCGATGGAGTGTTGACATCGTCCTTAGAACAAACTCTGGGCAAATTATTTTTCGGCATCCAAGTTTTGCCCAAAAATAGGGGGGCGTGTGTTAATACCAGATTTTGGCATGGTACAAAATGCAATTAAGATGGCTTCAAATGAAGAAATGATCTACATGAAAAAGTTCCGTATCGTCGACGTGAACATCTCGAGGGCCGAAACTAGACTCAAAGTACTCAGATTTTGTATTCAGAATAGTATTTGGCCAATTAAGCCTTCAAGATTGTCTCATATGAAAAAACTTTTTAAATGAATTGTCTTCGTCTCGTCGAAACGGTCGATTTGGATATAAAAATCATCTCAATGCAAGATCATATGCAAAAGTTAGAGCCATTCGAATGTAGCCCTGTCAGGAGGCTACATATGGCGCGCCCCACCAGACATAATGTCTGGTGGGTAGCGCCACTAATTGGTTGTCTTGCGTGAGCGATTCAGCCCTGAAGATGGCCTCAAATCAAAAAATGTACAACATGAAAGTTGTTCATCTCGTTGAAACGGATAACTTTTCTTTTGGGCCCATCTTCATCCGAGGTCGTTTGTGGCCTGTGAGAGTCCAAAACCGAACTTATGTCCCAAACTTACCTAAATCCGAGTTCGGTTAATTTTGGAAAGATTTGGACGTGATTTCAAGTCCAACCTTTTCTTGTACGGGAAGTCCATCCTCCTCTTATATTGACAAGAGGTGACGGCCCATTGAACAACACACAATTGCAAAACCCATCTACAAACTTTCATCTCCTACCCTAGTTTTCTGCTTCTCGTTCATCGGTGTTCTTCGCTTCAGAGAGATTCGATCTACGAAGTCCTAGGGGCGGGCGAACCGACCTAGGGCAGCCCATCACCGCCGTGCGTCCAGACGGGGTCTCTCCCGGCCGCGTGGGGTTTCGGGTCTTCATAAGAGCTCGCTGGATTGTCTTGCGTATCGCGCTTCCGGTGAGCCTCCTTCGGCGGCGTGTCTTGTGTATTGCGCTCGACGCCGAGGGTACACGATGACGTGTTCGTGTGCGAACAATGTGTACAGTATGTAATATCCTAAATTATGTTTGAAATGAAAAAGAATTAAAAAACACAGAATGAAAAGAAAAAACCGGGACTAAAGGTCCTCCAGCTCCCGGCGCTATCTTGATCGCGGCCATGTGGAGGGGCCTTAGTCTCAGTTGGTGACAGGACTAAAGGTCCTCCAGCCCCCAACGTGCGCTCGCGGCCACCTGGAGGGACTTTAGACCCGGGTTGTGGCCAACCCGCACTAAAGGGTGGGTGCCTTTAGTCCCAATTTCGTTGTTCCGGTTGGTGATCTGGGACTAAAGGCCGTCGCTAACCACGACTAAAGCCCCGTTTCCCACTAGTGTCGGCTCATTACCGCAACCCGCGTCGCGACGAGGCTGGCGGCAGCGGAGGAGGAGGAGCTTGCGAGGGCCTCTTCTCTTCTTGAGCTCCAATAGAATGTGGAAGAGAATCCCTTAAGGATGTCCAACTCCTCTGCAGCTAGCAAGCTGGGACTATACTTCCCATCACCCCTAGTGCCATATAACCCACATGGGCCCATAGAGATTTTCAGAAATTGTTAGATGGGCCCAAGGCCCACCCTAATATTTCAACATTGTTCACCTAATGCAAATAACATGAAGAGAGATGCCACCTCTATGGTTATGGCCCTATGAGCAATATGTAGGACACAATGACGTCAGTCGTGATTATAGAGTTGGCTCTTTTGGCAACCACGAAGAGCACCAGTGTTGCCGAGGTCAAAAGAAATGGGAAGAGAGCAAGCAAGAAAAAAACTAGAATATAAATTAAACTAGCAAGGCCAAGAGATGAGTCTGGATAGCTCGTGCATGACAATATCATGGAATGGCATGTTTGATGTTGTTCATGCGTCAAAAAAGCAAAAGATATCATCAGGTTTGACTGTTGCTTAATTGGTTCTTACTAAGCTTAATTACATCTTTTTGCCAAGTTTTGTAAGTACAATAGACGTTTGCCTTCAATTCTTTTGTAAAATGTTCTCAAGTCAGAACACCCTAATGGCTAAATGTATCTCAACCAAGTCATCTCTAGTGCGGCTTGGTTTTTGATTTCTATCATAGCATTTTTTTTGCGAGAAATTTTTTAGTCTATTCATCTTCAATCATGGCAGTACAACGAACACCAGAAACAATAAGAATTACACGCAAATCCGTAGACCACCTGGAGATGACTACACAATGAAGCGAGCCGAAGGCGCGCCGTCGTCACTGCCCCTCTCTCGCCGAAGCCAGCAAAAATTGTTATAGTAAACAGTCGAGTAGTCGTCGTGCTAAGGCCCCATAGACCAGCGCACCAGAACAGCAACCGCCGCAATTGAAAAGACGCATAGATCGAAAGGATCCAACCTGAAGACATACCAACAAAGACGAACGAAGACCGCATCAGAATAGGTCCACCAAAGACAAGCACCGACCGAATCCCATGAGATCCACCAAAAACACACCTCCACATGCCCTCCGGCGATGCTAGATGCACCACTGAGACGGGGCTAGGCGGGGAGAAATAGCGTTGCTTTCGATACTATGTATGTTAGTATTATAAGACATTTGAGAAGTGGAAATACTTGATTTCTGGATGGTTGAATTAAAAAAAATCTGTTCGGATCACATGGCTATTACCGGAGTGCACTTTCAATTGGTAGACAATTCAAAGTTTGATGCGGAAATAAAGTCCAAAATAAAGAGATGGCTAGAAGAAGGCTGGGACAGTAAAGTCGTGGCCGTACATAAAATACAGGGCATGTCGATCGACTTTATCTTTTAGTATTTCCTTTTTTCAAATCAACATGCAGGAGGACTGCATGCCTCATAATTAGAGAAGGAAGTAAGGGCAGAGATCCACAGTACACGCACGACCAAAAACAAGAGACGGCGTCCCCAAACCAGAAACAAAGCGAAAAATTACAAAGCAAAGCAAGGCGCAAGAGCTGCCGCCTGCCTGCAAGACAGAGAAAAACTAAATTTTACATAGCCAAAAATCCACATCCACCTTTAGTTGATTGATTTACGACCTGAGCAACTGGAGTGAATTTGTTGTAAAAAGTGCGGGCACTCCTCTCCTCGACTCCTTCCATATAGCCCAAGCAGTGAAAACAAACGCAGTCCAACTTCTTCCACTGAAGCAGTGAACACAAACACAACTGGTGTTCCCGTGAAGAGCGTCTCTCTTCTTTTAGTGTTTCCTTTATCCCTTTTTCTTTTGCCTTCCTTTACCCCTTTTTCTTTTGGCTTTGACAGCATGCATGACGCCAACGACAATGACTGACAGCCCCTTGAAATTACTTGTCTGCTTGAGTGCTTGTTGTGATAAACAAACATAGGGTAGCGATACACCTACGTACAACATACCAAGAGAGAGGGAAGGGAGATGTCTGATCTCTGGAGTGGTTTGCTTCTGCGATGGTGGGATGATTGGCAGCTACGTATCCTCGTCCTGGGCAGTCTGGGCCTCGAGTGGTTCCTCCTGCTGGTCGCCCCTATGCGCAAGTACACCATCCGACCCGTCTTCAGGACATGCATCTGGCTGGCATATATTTCCAGCGATCCTCTGGCGATTTACGCGCTTGCAACCCTCTTCAACCGCCACGTAAGGACCAGTAACTGTGGCGGGATGAAAGAGCAGTCAAGCATCCTGGAGGTCCTATGGGCTCCAATCCTTCTCATCCACCTTGGTGGGCAGGAGGAAATGACTAGCTACGAGATAGAAGACAATGAACTGTGGAGGAGGCACACCGTGACCTTGGTGTCCCAGGTCGCGGTCGCCTTGTACGCCTTCTACAAGTCCTGGCACAGCTCCAGTGACCGGAAGCTATTGGCGGCTGCAATTCTTCTCTTCGTGGTCGGGGTCCTCAGCTTCAGCGAGAAGCCATGGGCTCTCAACAGAGCTAAAAGCAAGAGACTGGCGGCTCTATCGGCCTGGGGGCGAGGAGCAAAAAAGCCATCCAAATGGAGGGAGTGCATGAACTTCTTGTTCAAGGAGAGCAGTTGCTTCAACAGCAGGATGCCACAAAGTCATTTTTCAATGGTTGGGGAGGAGGGTGGCAGCAGAAATCGGTCAGGCAGATTCACCGAGCTGCTACGGCGATGGCGCTGGATGGAGAGCGGCAGGCATCAGCCAAACTGGATGGTGGTGCCCTTGACGGAGGCAGACAAAATCTTAATGGTACTTTCAGACATGTCACTGCTAGCTGCTGCCAAGGAGCTGGTAGCGCGAAAGAAAGCTCTCATGGTGGAGGATGTTTTGCCACCTCTGCCCGTTGCTGAGAAAACGTTGCCACGCCTGATGCGCAGTGCATTCGAGTTCAACTACACCAGAGAGCAAGTGGTTGCCACTCCTATCTACCTGCTTTATCATCGGTTGGTGGTCCCGATCCTGCACATTGCCACCCTGACGCTATATGCAACCAGCAACAAGCACCCGTACAAGCATGCTGACGTGAAGATAACATACATCATTTTCTGCCTCACCGCCGCGCTGGATGTCTTCGCAGTCTTCATCCGCCAGCTGCTATACCGGCTCATGTCTAGGACACAAGTTCCAGCTCTGTGCGAGACGGTGCCCAGCTATAACCTCATAGATGCTGCTCTTTGGGAAGGTGACAAGAGCATCGGGTGGGTATACATGTGTGCCAGGCGATTGGGCTTCAACTGCTATTCCAGGCATGAACTTGGTGGCCTGTACAGAATAGTCACACAAACTGTGATTGCAGATCTGGTGGATGCAGGAAACCGAGACTTCGCCAGTTACAGGATCTTCGATTCAAGGAACTGGGCTATAAGCAATGAGATGCAAAAACATTGTGGCGCGGAGGCCAAAAAAATCTTGTGCGTCTCGTTCGACCGGAGCGTCCTCCTATGGCACATCGCCACCGATCTATGCTTACGCTGCATTGACGATGCCTCCTCTGTCGCTGATGGTGGTGAAGAAGGCCGGGTAGGAGGAGAAGAAGAAATAGCAGCAGAAGGAGGAGCAGAAGAAATATCATCAGAAGGAGAAGGGGCAGAAGGAATAGCAGCAGAAGAAATCCAAGAGGAACAACAACAAGGACACGAAGAGCAACAACAAGAAGATAGGTTGGACCCAGCATTACGTCTTCATATGAAGTGCACAGTTGCAATATCCAACTACATGGCGCACCTGCTGAATTTGAACCCTCAGATGCTGCTGACCGGCAGCAGGCACCATCTGATCTCCGAAGCTATGGAGGAAGTAAAAACCTGCTTTTTGTTGAAGAAGTATAAGCTGAGCCAAAGAGAGGAAGTAAAGAAGCTCATTGACGACATAGTGGACAAGTCAGTGAGTGAACATGATGAAGTTTTCCACATCACTGAGGCATGCAAGCTTGCGAAAGAGTTGCTAAAGATGCCGACACATAGGCGCTGGATGCTGATGTACCGAGTGTGGCTGGGCATGCTCTGCTACTCCGCCAGCATGTCCAGGGGTTACCTGCATGCCAAGAGCTTGGGTGAAGGTGGAGAATTCCTCACTTTCGTCTGGCTCGTGCTCTCGCTCAAGGGGGGCAAGAGCTTGGCCGACAAGCTTCAGATGCCGCCAGACAATGATGACAACACCGTCAAACCATAAGTGCCAGGTGTGCAAGGATTTGGCCGGGTGTGTGGTTGATTGATTTTACAATCTAGATTGCGTGCTTGCGTGCATGCTTGCATGTGAGCTACTGTAGCTCTGGTACGTATATCGTTGCATACATGTTTTCTTGTTCGCCGGATACATTTGTCCTTGCTTTGCTAATCTGGTGTGCTGCTACCGGTGTGTTTGTGTGTTCATGGGCCGGCATAGAATTCAAGGCTCCCATGTGTCAGGTGTGTTTAATATTTTGCTATAATTATGTATTGTCCTCTCGTTGAGCAATTTGTCATTTATGATCCTCTTACGCAATGCCTACTACTACTTGCAAATCTTGTTTCACGCCTTATGTCAACAATACTTCTACCAGTATCCTTTATGGCAGTAGTTCATGTGTTCCATGTTTCTCCCCTTCTTGTATGGCAGCTCCACCAACATATATGTGTTGGCATGAAACCCATAATTCATGCACTACTACAGAAAAATAATTTTAGCCAACACCCTCCATTTTACTGTAGAGGCAGTTTAGCTTATTTAGAAATTTCAATAGGCATGTCTATAAGAAACCAGGAAAACAACACAAAAACAAAAGTTAACCACGGAAATTGAAGTTGCAATCCATTCTAAAGCTTTGTTTATGAACCAGTAATTTAGCTAGTGCTAACAAAGGAAGGGAAGATCAAATCGTCATAAAGCAAACAAAGGCTGAGAGTGTGCTGCAAGCGAAGCTGAAACAATTGCCCTGGCTATTCAGGTTACAACTAATATGGCTAGCAGAGGAACATATATTATTTTAGGTGGTAACCTAAAACTAAGTTCATCTAGTACTGCTCACCAGAACTCCTCCTGCACACGCAGCTAGCCGAAATATGATGCATCTTTTTTGCTGCCAGATATTTGGAAGAGAAACAGTACTAGTAGAAGATAACATACTGAAACTAGGTTACTCATTTTAACTGCGGACTGGATTTCTGCCTAAAACAAACAGGGGAACAATAATCAAAACAGGGACTTGCTATTACTAATTACACCAGCAGGAAGTTCCAAGGTTGAGAAAGGCACAGACGTTATGAGAAAGGCACAAACATTATGTGCTGATGATAAGGCAAATACGTGTGGCATTATTCTAATGGCCTTCGCCTTTTATATCTCACAAGTTAGAGCATCTACAATGCAAGATGCTTATCTAGAATTCTAGATACTAGCCGAGAAAAAAATAGAGATCAAAAAATTAAATATCCGGCTAAGCGCTCCCTCTCCATCTCCAATGGTAAGTGCTAGGCACCAACAACCCATTTCATAGCTAATGCAGGAGGGGAAAAAACAGCAAAGAGCCGGCTGTCGCGTCGATGCCAGTCGGACCTGATGACAGGATTTGATCAACAAACTGTCAATCTACTGGGAAATTTATCCTAGCGCCCTCTCCTGGCGTCTGGTATCGGAGATGGCCTTAGGCATCACAGCCAGTGCTGGAACAGCCATCAGTTAGTTTTGCCACCAGTGGTGACGATTCAGACCATGAACTACTTCATGGGGTATTTTTCGAACAGCGAACAGTGGATCCTTCTGCCTCTAGCAACAGAGGGGACGCTAGTGCTTCCGTGCCATGCCCCTGCAGAACAGGACGCGGCGGCGAGGTGCCCAGGGGACTGCCGTGATAGGCTACCTCGTCCACATCCACTGAGATGGAGCCAGGACGCAAATCATGAACCTAGCTAGCACGCGAGAGAGAGAAGCCTAGCATACATCACAAGAGGGGAAGAAAGATGAGAGCGACGGGATTACCTGTCAAAATGTGGCCGCCGGAGGGCTCGCCGCCGCCATCTATTCGCGCCGCCGGGATCTCCGACCCACTCGGGCGAGGATAAGTTTCTGTCCACCCACGGAGAGCGCCCAAGCTGCTCGTGATGGGCTCCCTCGGCCATTCCCGGCCCAACTGACCAAGAGCGTGTTTGGTTCCCACCCTGGGCTGCTTGCCTGGAAATTTTCAGTGCCTGGCGTCGGCCTGGTGAGGTCGACTTTTCCCGCCTGCCCAGGCTAGCCTGGCATCGATGCGTTTGGTTCATCCCTGGCATGTTGCTGCCCTGCTGCAGTGTTGCTTTGTCATTACTCTCTTCGTTCAAAATTACTTGTCGTTGAAATGGATGTATCTAGACGTATTTTAATTCTAGATACATCCATCTTCAAGACAAGTAATTCCGAACGGAGGGAGTAGCGATTAAAAAAATCTTAAGTAGGAGCCAGGCATCGTGCGGCATGGGCCAGGCGAAAGAAACAGGACGCCTGGGGCCAGGCTAATCCAGCTGCCTGAGCTATCCATCTTTTTTCCTATTTTTTTATTCAACTTTACTAGGCTCATCACAGGCCTCCGCAAGCCAGACCAGGCATGCATTCTACTCCCTCCGTTCGGAATTACTTGTCGCGAAAATGGATGTATCTAGATGTATTTTAGTTCTAGATACATCCATTTTCAAGACAAATAATTCCGAACAGAGGGAGTATCTCTCAGGACACGAACAAAACAACTTCTAGGCAGACTTCAGGGAGCATCCAGGCCAGGCGTGAGGTGGCGTGGATGCCAACCAAACACGCTCCAAGGCCTTGGGGATTTCCTTCAGGAAAAAAAACAGCGATATCTCAAAAAGAAAAGTAACAAGCCACTTTTGCTACATAAGAAGAGAAAAATACATTTTAAATGGGACGTGCCTAGGGATGGCAATGGATAGGGTATGGGTGGATATAACCTTTTTCTGCTCAAACTCATACCCACAAAAACTTTCTATACCCATCCAGTAGTCTACAAAATGTGAGAACTATGGATTACTGGTCCGAGTGTTGGCAAGAGTCCGTTGCTGAATAGTCAAGATTTAATTATTTCGATGAACCACATAGATTGAAGGAGGACTGGTGATCTGTAGGTGCGGCCCTACGGCTATGGTTGGTTTAAGGAATAAAGGATTGAGCATTTGGCCATAAAAGCTGCATGTTGACCCATATATGTTATAGGAGTTATTATTTCTCTTTCCGTTTTAAAATAGATGATCCAACTTTTAACTAATTTTAGTACAAAGTTAGTATAAAGTTGGGTCATATATCTTGGAACGGAGGGGGTATTTGTTATTTTTTCTTGTGTATCCATTGGGTTACTCATGGGCACAATTTCATACCTATGTCCTACCCATACTAGTAGAACGCGCGTGTATTGCTACGAGCTACAGTGCATATAAATTAATCAAACACATGATTAAGATCGTCTTTAAGGTCAAAGCTCATTTCTTCCTCATACATCCAGACTTGTTCGGACCCAAAATTCAACTATTTGGGTCTCCCCTAAATCCAGCCCATATGTGTAGGAGAAATATTGTTGCTGGGCTAACATGTGGTCCCAAACACAAAAACCCCACCCCACTACTTACCAGATGTGAACAAAAGAAATGTTGTTGTCTGGACTAACACGCGCTCCCAAACACAAAAACCTCACCCCAAGACACACCCTTCCCTATTCTTGCCGGACCGTCCCTTTCCCGCTCGGTTTCCCGCATTAGCATGATATTTCTCACTGGAACCCTCTCCTTTAAAACAAGATGACGCTCACCTTACCTTCGCCATGACACCCTCTCTCCTTCACACCGCCGCCACTTGCACTGCTCCCTGCCCTAATCCCCTCCTCCCGTTGCTACTTCTTGAGCTTGCATTGATTTTTTCCTTAAGAGGGAAGGGTGATGCAGCAAAGTAGAGATAACTATTTCCCTCAGTTAATAACCAAAGTATCGATCCAGTAGTAGGAACACCCAAGTCTCCAATAGATGCACATGCACAAACTAACAAACACTTGCACACAACGTGAAAAAGGGGTTCTCAATCACTTCACAGTCACTAGCAAGAGTGAGATCTGATAGAGATAAGTATAAAAGATAAGTAAAAGTGCAAAACAAAATAAAGGTAAATAAACTGCAGCAAGGTTTTTTTTTGGTTTATAGGTCTAAAAATAATAAATAGAAAATAAACCCGGGGGCCATAGGTTTCACTAGAGGCTTCTCTCTTGAAAGAACGGCATACGATGGATAAACAAATTATTGTTGAGCAATTGATATAGGCATCACGTCCGTGACAAGTAGACCGACTCCTTCTTGCATCTACTACTATTACTTCATACATCGACGGCTATCCAGTATGCACCTAGTGTGTTAAGTTAACAAGAACGGAGTAATGCCTTAAGCAAGATTACATCATGTAGAGGGAAGATCCAAACAATATGGTATGAACCCCATCCTTTTATCCTTAATGGCAACAGTACAAATACGTGCCTCGCTAATCCCTTCTGTCAGTAGGTGAGGACACCGCAAGATTCAACCCATCACAGAAGCACCTCTCCCATTGCAAGAAAAATCAATCTAGTTAGTCAAACCAAATCAATAGATCGGAGAGAAATATAAAGCTATCTTAATCATGCATAAAAGAGTTCAGAGAAGACTCAAATAATATTTATAGATTATTTGATCATAAACCCACAATTCATTGAATTTCAACAAACACACCGCAAAAGAAGATTACATTGAATAGATCTCCAAGAACATCGAAGAGAACATTGTATTGAAGATCAAAGAGAGATAAGAAGCCATCTAGCTACTAGCTATGGACTTGTAGGTCTATGCTAAAATACTCACACTTTATTAGAAGGGTAGCAAGGTTGGTGTAGAGGCCCTCCGTGATTGAATCCCCCCTCCCCCCCCCGACAAAGTGCTAGAAAAGGCCCTAAGATGGGATCTCACGAGAACAGAAGCTTGCCGCGGCGGCAAATTATTTTTTGTGTGCCCTCTAGTGTAGTGGGAATATTTGGGTGTTTATGGAGCTGGGATTAGGGTTAGGAGAGTCCCGAGGGGAAAACAAGCCCTGAGCCCCCCCCTAGGGCGCGGCCTCCAGGCTTGTGGCCTCCTCGTGGCTCTTTTGGCTTCCCCCCGAAGCTTCGTGGGTGTCTTTGATACGTCTCCGTTGTATCT